TCTATTCCATTAAACATAAATTTGTTATGAATTTTTGGGAATATCGGAAGTGGAAATTAAGAGCAAAACTATTCTACGTCATTAAGAGGTTTCGCCAAGATATATGCGAGTTGAAAATTTTGAATACTCTTTGAATAAATGGCACTCAAATAACACAACCAAATGGCAACATGCTAAAACCTGATACTCGAACTGAAAGCCCAATAAAGGTACGTGTTATATTTACGATTCCTATCAAAAACCATTATAAACAAGATAAGACTGCATTCGCGAACCCGCCTGGATTTTATCAACATCTTTAAGGAAAATAGAATCTAGCGGTTCGTTATTACGTTATGCAACCTTGGGTGACTACAACTCTTATTCAAGATAGGAAGGCTCTTAAAATCTTTAGATTGCCTCTAAACTTATTAACAATGATTATAAATAAAGTGGTCAGTACAAATTTGTCAATCCTCAATAAATGAGACCTAAATGGCCGGTAATATCACATCTGCTCTGGCACCCACGTGGAGTAATGGCAAAATACCAAAATATATGCTGCCCTATCCAAGTTAGATTCCAATCAGAGATGCTGATGAGATCAAGGCAACCCTGGACGAGAATACTAGTTTGGAGACAATGGAAGGTAAAATTCAATGGCATCTCGAAGCCTAATCATATCACTGCCGGAAAATTTTAATATCAATTATTTATCAGCCTAGGGACCTTGGGTGACCACATCTTTTAATTAAAACACAGTTGCCAAAATATGAAAACTTATAAATGATGATTTTGGGATAAAATCGTATTAAATTACAAAGTGTAATCAGATTTCACGCACAATAATAAGGAATGTTACCAAAAATGGAGCGATACTTAAGAAGTTTTCAAGAGGTTCAATAAGTTATCCGCAAGAATAGACCACAAATGGTTATGAAGCAGAGAGGGAATTACTTAAATGATGATGAATAGTTATTTTATTTTTTTTAATGCACGAATTTTCATTTGAGCACAAACAATTGCAAATAATTTGATAAGGAGCTATAAATCTATGGTCCAAAGAAGGAGTTAATTTCTTATCTTTGGATGAATCTAAGAAGTGAGTTCGCAAAAGAGAGTTCGGGATCAAGGTGAATATTATAGTAAATAATTCGGAGGCGCAAAAGCTAGCCATGGATGCGATGGGAAAAAAACTGACCTTGAAGCAGGATTCGCCCATGCCACGAACCATTGCTCCAAGCGCACGTGCTGCTACCGAACGAACTTCTGGCACAGGGTCTAGAAGACAAGTCTTGAGACCAGGCATCACACTACCAACATATGGCTGGAGGTCCTCTTTTTTAGCCAGGCTGTAGAGATTTCCGAAGATCTGAGCGGCCATCTTACGTGTCTCAGTGGACCGGTCATCGAAAGCACGTTGTACCACTGGCATGATAAGCGCCAGGCTTGGGGCATCGATAACATGCACAAAACAAGTGTCACGAAGCGCCAATAGACATGATGTCTTATTGGCAAGAGGGTCTTGGAGACAGGTAATCAATCGAGGCACAAGAGCTGTATTTTTGCGGAAAGAGCATAAGACAGACAAAAATATAAGTTACCTATATATTAAGAGATATAAGGACAAATAACCAAATAATAAATTGATAATGATTTTATCTTTCTAGGTCGCTAATGGCGATTCGAGGGTAATTGTATAATTTTTCAAAAACGTTATAAGTAAGCCTCATGATGCCTTTGATTTCCACTTAACCTTGTCTTCCAAAAGATTTTCTTATCCAGGTTGGACTGTAGTTTCGACTTCATCTGAGTTTCATCCAAACTTGTAGCCAGATCTTACGAGTAATGGTGAAATTTACTAATATACTGCATTGCTAATGGGTCACCGGGCAAAAGACTTTTGGGACAAGCAATGTCTCCCCAAAAATAACATTTAGACTATCCGACTATAAATAAATAAATAAATAAATAAATATTCGTCTATAGACATATTAAGCGATTTGAATAAATAAGTAGTCATGAGGAAAATAGATGAAAAAAGTAGACAGCTAGTTAGTTTGTTAGCCGGTTGAATAAAGATGAAGCCTTCAAAACCGAAATAAAAAAAGAATAAATAATATATGTAAGCCAATATTCCACATACCTTGGACTTCTGGATTTCGAATTACACCTCCAATTTGCGTGAGTGCTTTGCCTCCTGCTTGGCGAAGCTGAGGTTGAGACTCAAGAAGCACAGTAAGAAGACGAGGCACGATCTGTGGAAGGCAGGCGGACAGTTGTTTTGGAGCACATTGTGTCATAGTAGCTAGCAAACTAACAGTCTCTGTATAAAAAGAAAAGTCAAGGTTATTTGAATGAGGTCTAAAAACATTTATTAAAATATGAATCATTGTGTTAAGAAGGGTCATAGAAAGTATAATAGATTAAATGTAGTAGAAGAAGATTAACTAAGCAAAAAAGAAAAGATAGGTCAAAAAAGTCTAAAATGAAGATATTTGCAACAGTGAATGCAAGATCCAAGTAGCTTAGAAATCGAAGCATAAAAAGTAACCCTTGTTAATATTGAAATTCGAATTCAACGTTATTTTGCGAGCTCGTGTGTGCCCTTAGGCGTTATAAGCTACGAAATTGAGTTTTTAAAGTTAGTGGGGCCATATCGGAACAAGCATTTAAGAGCCCCAAAGCATCCACAACAGAGGCTTTTGAAATAGGTCAAAATTAAGTATCATCTGGTTAATTAAGACCGTAGAGTGAGATTTTAAATGATGAAAAGATTTGAAGGATAAGAGGAAGATTATGAAAAATAGGGAAAGAAAGTCTTAGCTATTAATATTACATAGAGATTTAAAAATGGAATAACTAGGAAAACTGAATAGGAATAAGTTAAAAGTCCTTGGAGAATCAGCTTGAAATAAAGTGAGAACACAAGCAGGGAAAAAGTGAGAACAAAGGAGCAAGTAGTGCAATAATAATAAATGATCGTGCAAGAAGTCCAGTCATATTAGACGTCTGGACATAGGTGAACGACAAGGCATGTAAGTTCGAGATAAAGAAAATATAGGCAGATGATGAGACTTAATAGAAAAGATCAAAATAAATTCAATCAGATGTGAT